CTTTTTTTTTAATGTCAAAGAGCTTTAAGGTGATTCTTACAGAATATTTCTAAACTAAGTAAATGTTTCAATTTGATCCATGACAAAAACAATATTTTGTCTATAGCCAGTATTTCAAATGTCCAAACTTAGCATAATCAGATCATTTATTATGACTTACCATTCATAATGCACTGCCTAATCTACTTGATGGTAATATCTGAAGACTAAACATCAAGAAAGTAGAAGGGCTTTCAAAGTTACGTGAAGGTCACCTTCTAAAAGCTCAGAAAGCTCATTTAATACAGGTGATAGAAACTCAAGTCTTAAGTCTAGACACTGACAGTTGTGGCTAGCATTTTACTACCTACTCTAGGTTAGATACCAACTTATAAAGTTTATATATTCTCATTTATTTCTTACTGTTCTGAGGTACATATGCTATTATCTTTATTTTTATAAACAAAGGAAATGAAGTAAAGAGAGTTTTAATGAATTTGAGTAAGATTACACAACAAATTTATTAAACCACCTCATGGAGTTTTCAATTTTCCAGAGGGTAAAAATTACAAACATTAAAAAGGATATGAATTAAACTTATGTTATCACGTTCCCACTTTTAAGTAATAGTTATATTTTTCTATCTTATATGTCTTTACACTCATGTATAATCAGTTTATAACATACACGGATCCATATTACTGACAATTAGCTTTTCATTTTTATATGTAAACAACACTATATATGCATGTATATAAACATACATTTCCAAACTCATTCAAATTTATTTGTAAAATTCAGAATAAAGTTGTTTGTATTGATGTTTATACACATTAGGATAGGTAAATGGCATAAACCAAATAGAAATGGATCAATTAACTCCTTAACTGCTATAGATTAAGAAACAACAAGTCTTTGTGATACAGTTAATAAGAATCTGGCACAAATTAGAGTGTCTCTGCACACTCTTCCACATCTCTCCCATTACACAGCAATATATAATTAATCAACTGAACAGTGACTCCTATTCAAACTTAGGTCTTTTAGTTTTCATTTGCTGCTTCAACCATCTGGATGCATCTTTCTTGTTTTTTTTTTTTTACAAAAATGTAAATAAGATACAAAAGCTAAAGGGCAAGTATTCAACTTATCTAATGCTCAATTTTCTTACTGATAAAAGACTATTTCCTAGTTGCATTATTTTTGATAAATTTTCAATTTAGCAAGCATTTACCTCTTTTACTTCTCTGTGACTTAGTTAACTTATTTGTAAAATGAAGATAAATGTAAAACTATATTAGTGAAGCATATACCACATAGAAGACATTCAAGTAAACATTTCTAATACTTTTCCATTGTTCAATAAAAATATTATTTCAAAACATATACAATTTTTTTGTTGTTGTTGATTGACTGGATCTCTTAATGCAGTCCAATCTGGCCTGGAACTGACTATATATAGCCCAGGCTGGGCACGAGCTCATGATCCTGCCTCAACTTCCTTAGGGCTAGGATTATGTGCATAATTCACTAAACTCAGTTCCTCAAAAATATAGTGTTTAAAGTTCCACTGGCATCTAATATTAAAGGCAACTTTTCAAAAAAATTCTCACCAAACTCAAAACAATCTTGTTTCAATAATGACTGCTAACACTGAGTATCTAAGATTTACGAAACATGGTTTTAAGTTAATGATAATCAGTGTATCACCATAAGACACAACCGTATATCTATTTTATAGAAAAATACAAATATGGAATGACTAAATTAGACTTGGAATACAAACTTAAGCAGTCTTACCATTGAGCCTGTGTCTGAACTGCTTTTGCTATATCAACTTATGTTTGTACTGAATAGAGCAATGCATCTATACATTTAAAAATTACTTTCATGCTCTAAGCTATTTTTATCTTTTAAAGTAACCTTTTGTTATTCTCACTTTTTACAAAAAAGTAAAAATATCTGAAAAATGGAATTCTTTCTGCAAATACGTCTTCACATACATCTGTGCAAAGCCACCCCCAAACAATGATATGAAAAGGTTACTCCTCTGTAATATCTTACAATGACTACGAAAGTACTCTTACAATCACAGTAGGCTCCTGATCACAGCTAAAATATCAGACTCCTCCCATATTCCTGAATTCATTTTCTATTAATCTCTCCTCTGACACACTCTGTTAAACCACATTTGAGCTCTTTACAGTTTCTGAATATGCCAAGCTCATTTCTGTCTCAGGATTTCTTATATTGTTTCTTTTGCATAGAAGGCTCACACACCAGATCTTCCCATGGCTCTTCCCCTAAATCCTGCTCTTTTTTTTAGTTCCTCTTGCATTATTCCACCTAACTCCATTTCTACCCCAATTTTTCTGCATCCCTTTCCCTACCTTCATAGTACTTGTATATTATCTAAAATTATCTTACTTATTGCTTATATCGCCCCTCCTCTCCTTAAAAGGGTCTATGTAACCTTGGCTGTCCTGGAACTATGTAAACCAGGCTGGCCTCAAATGCACAAAGATCTGCCTGCCTCTACTTCTCAAGTGCTGGGATTAAAGGCTTATAAAATCATGCCCCGTGGTTGTACATTTCTTATCAGTCTCTCAGAGAACTGAAATATAAAAACCTTGAAGCAAGATCTTATCTTTTACATTTCTATGTTTTATCTAGAGTAGTGCCTAGCATTTAGTTCTAAATAAATATCTAAATTAAACATGGTTCAAAAAAATTATTTTATGTGTATATCCGAAAACAGGAAACCAAATGTTAGAAAGCAATAAAAGAAATAAAACAGACTAACTATTTATTCTGTTTGTTAGGTAATATGCACATAAATAAAACTTAGAAGTTTAAATGCATAGAAATAGATAAATTAGTTAATTTTAGCCCCAATGGCTTCATTAAATTTGCACCCTTTGATATGTACCTCTGAAGGGTATTTTTTTTATTGTCTGTAGTTTTAACTTTCTTTTTTTATTTATTTATAACAAAACATAATTAGGAAAAGGGTAACTGATAAGCAATTTAGTAACCAAGGGTTTTTTTAATTTTGAAATAATTTCACTTATTCCTTGTTGAGTAGAAAAATTTATCATCTGCCTTACTTAGGAGAATAACAGCAAAGGAAACTTTTTTTTTTTTTTTTACAGATGCTTCTTTGAGAAAACATAGTTCCTTCATTCATAAACTTTAAAATTCACTCAATCTTTAATTCTTAGGTTTTGACATCCTTCAGTTAAGTAAAACTTTATGAGACGTCTTCCATGCTTTAAACACTATGAAATTAACACTTAGTGGTTCATACACGTTATTAGTCAACTACACCCTAACTTTCTGTGCCATGACAGAACCTCTGGGATAGTAAGTTACTGATTATGTTATTAAATTTATTTATCTATTAACAAAGATATCTTACTTAGATTAGCATTTAAACTGATATAGGCAAAATAGGTAGGTACTGCAAACCCCAAGCAATCCAGCTTATTTATTATACCCGAACTTTTTGTGTTTTTTCCAAGGGGTGTGAAAAAAAATGAAACACAAAATACAAGAGCTATCAGGTTTTGCATCTTTTTGTTTTTAGTAATGACACCCTTTACTGCAAAAAGGGAGGATTTCTGAGCAATCAAAGTTTATTTTTGTCATACTATGTTAACTATGTTTTAAGTTATTTAGCCAATTTTTTGTTTATTTGTTTTGGTTTTAATTTGTTTGTTTATTTGTTTGAGACAGAGTTTCTCTGTGTGTAGCCTTGACAGTCCTAGAAATCACTCTGTAGATCAGGCTGGCCTCAAACTCACAGGAAACCACCTGCCTCTGCCTCCCAAGTGCTGGGAATAAAGGTGTGCACCACCACTACCAAGCCCTATTTTACCAATTTTTTTTAATCTAATAATCTGTGTCAATACTTTGACTCTTTCAAGTTACTTCAAAATGCATAAAATACAATAAGCAATGTAAAGAGGTCAAACTTACATTTTATGAATACAGAATAATAAAATGTTATATTTTAGTGAAAATTATAAACATTAAATGCTTCGTTCTATTTAGAAGAGTCAAAAAGTATCATTTATCCTCTTCCTCTTACTATTTTGTTGACCTGTCATGACAACTAAATCTCCCTACTATATAGCTCAAAAACAGTCACAAAGGAAACAACCAACATACACTTACATTTTATGCCATTATGCACTCAGAATCCATCAATACCAGTCAACTGACAACTACCAAGAGTATCCTGCCTAAAATGGCACAATGAAATTCATCATTTTGTGTAATTAAAATATACTAACATGTTTTTGTTTTAAGACTATATTGATAATGTCAGAAGAATCCAACAACATGACCCAGGCTTACATATTTTCACATGGAAATATTCTTCAGCTATATCTTTCAATTTCTTTCCTGAAGATGTTGAGGATAAAAGTCCATTTAATAAGGACCTAGTTCAAAACCTAATAAAAACTGCATGAGCAATACAAATCATGAGATGTATTTAATGTCAGTGCTATTGCAATCTACAAATCACAATAAATATCCCAAGAAGTTGTAATGGTCTATAGAGAAAAAAAATGTCACATTTCAACCGTAGCAATGAAATCTGCAAATAATGATTTCAAACAAAAACATTGCTAATGCCTATGCATTTGCTGAACTGTCAAGCTCTAATAAAACTAAAATTACAGTGTCTCCGTCTGCTAAAGTAACAGGAACAAGCTGATAAACGCAGTCAGAACAACAGTGTATTCTGGAAAACTAAGAACTTCCTGAAAACCTAGAAAAATATGTCCACAACAGATGGGTCACTTAGATATGAAAACAACAGTCTGTCAAACTGAGTACTGTTCTAATTCTCTAAATTAAAATCAGTAGGAGCTCCACTTTCTAAGAGTCATGTGGCACTAGGAAGACCAAGGGGGAGGAAATCTGAAGATGAACATACACACATCTGATGTGACCTAACGGGTCATACTCTCAGGTTTCCTGTCAAACATACTAAATTCAGGTAAATTCCTTACCAGTTAACTTCTTCACAGGTTGGAGCCGAACACTGATAGACTGATGTGTGAGTAAGGGGGAGGATGGAAGAGAGCGAGACATGCCCTCCATAATCCGAATGTGCTGCATACCTTCACTCACTGCAAGTGGTGGAACAGCGTAGTCTGGCTCAAAAGCACAGTCGCTTTCTGTGGAGATGCCACCTGTTAAAAGGAAAGGATGGTATAAAAAAGCTGATGAGAAAAGGATTTTCCTTCTTTACTAAAATGTAATCTTCTAGGATGACTCAGATTATCATCTCTCTCTCTCTCTCTCTCTCTCTCTCTCTCTCTCTCACACACACACACACACACACACACATTGCAGAATATTTGTTTACACTGTCAAGATGTGTCTTGGCCAAGGGGTTTTCTGATTAGCTTAATAAAGAGCTGAATGACCAATAGCTAGGCAGAAAGAGGTTAAGCAGGACTTCCTGGGACAGAGAGGAGTCCGGAGGGAAGAAAGGAGTTGCCAGCCAGACTCAGAGGAAGCAGAATGTGCAGGAGTAGAGGTAAAAGCTACTAACCATGTGGCAGGATGTAGATTAATAAAAATGGGTTAATTTAAGTCATAAGAACTACTTAGAAACAAGTGTAGCTATAGGCCGAACTTTCATAATGAATAAGAAGTCTTCATATCATTATTTAGGAGTTAGCTTGTGGGACAAAGACTTTTGATACATATGGTGTCTTCTGTGGGGGCACATATTTCCACATAGGTCCTGAGAAAGCTTTTTTTTTTTTAAAAAAAGTACCAAACATGCAAAAACGGAGCCAGACAGGACTTCCTAGTCCCACATTTTCTCAGAGATATGGCTCCTGGCCGTTGCCTGCAGGCTTGATCGAGCCAGTGCCATGTGCAGAGTAGTGCAGAAGGTTTAAAGGCTTGGCTCATGCAGTCAAAAAAGGCTGCAGGCATGCAATCTAGACCAAGGGACTAAGAAAACCTTTAAACAGATACAGTAAAAAAATGAGTATAGACAGTCATAAAAAACAAACAAATAAATAGTTAAAAAATAATAAAGTCTTTAAAAAAGAGTAAAGTACTATAAAAAGGTAAGCCATGTAAGGAGGGGAAATATTAAACACAGGGAATCTGGATCTTATATGGTGCTTTGTTAATTTTGAATTTTTGGAATTCTAATTAACAGAGAATGGTAGCTGCTGAGAGAGAATTATGGAAGGACTGCTGAATTAAACCAGCCTTTATACTTTAGGGATGACTTGGCTGTTGACTGAAGTTTCTGTCCCACCCGGTCCTTCACTTGTTCAGTTCCAAAGAAAACACACAGAGGTCTACATTAATTATAAACTGATTGGTATATTAGCTCAGGCTTCTTATTAACTCATAGCTTATATTAGCCCATAATTCTTGTTTGTGTTAGCCATGTGGTTTGGTACCTTTTTCGGTGAGACAGTCACATCTTGCTTGCTCTGTGTCTGGGAGACAACTGCAGACTGAAACTTCCCTCTTCTCATAATTTCTGCCTCTACTTCCTGCTGGTCACCCCACCTATACTACCTGCCTGGCTACTGGCCAATCAGCATTTTATTAAATATAGTACAATTGACAGGATAAAAGAACATTGTCCCACAGAAACCTCAGTCAACAAATGGTGCCCAATGTGGGGTAACTACATCCACATAAAGCCTGAGAGAGCTTGGGAAGTAATTCTAGACAGAAAAGAATTTAAGCATGGCTTATTGATAGTAGTATTTTCTCAGGTGGGCTCTGCTTGCTAGAGGCAAGTGCTCTCATTTAAGAGAGGCTTCCTGACTCATCTTTAGCTGCAAAACCTTACAGTTCTTTTAAGAGGTCCTGCCACAAAACAATTACATGATGTTGATAAAAAGCTGACTGCATACTTTTTGGTGGTGGCTAGTTCTGGCTAGTACCTCTGCAATGAGGCTAGACTCTCAAAAAGCTAAGGAATGGGGTGGATCTACCTGTCAAAGCCAGGGCTTTAATCCTAGCCCTATTGCTTGGTAAATTAAAGACTCATGTGATCAAAAAGATAGATACAGTAAAAATACTTTCAGACAAAAAAGCCTTTAAACAGTTTACAGTGTGTTTAAAGGATAAAGTCCTTAAAATAAAAAAGAAAGAGAGAAGTTGGGTGTAGTGGAACATGACTTTAATCACAAAACCTGGGAGGCAGAGACAGACGGATCTCTGTAAATTCAAGGTATGGTGGCACACATCTTTAATCCCAACACTTGGGAGGCAGAAGCACACAGATCTCTGTGAGTTCAAGAACAGCCTGGTCTACAGAGTGAATTACAGAACAGTCAGAGATACACAGAGAAAACCTGACTCAAAAAGCCAAAAATTAAAAATAAAAATTAAAAATAAGTTAAAATAAAGCCATGGAAAGAAAAAATACACAGAGAGTCTGGATACTGTATGTTATTGTGTTGTCTTTAAATTGTTTGATGAGTGAGGAAGGAGCAAAACCTGCTAAAAGACATTTGATTATAAATATTGCTGGATTAATCCAATATATGTATTTTAAAAATGCTTTGACTTTAAAATTTAAGTCAAAAGGTATGTTATTTGGAGAAGAGGTTTTGCTTTTGTTTCCACAGGAAATGAGGGACTGTGCATTCACTCTGCGTTAAGAAAAATCAGGTTTGACCAAGGAAACCCCCCTGAGAAATCTCCAATAGAAGGAATGGCCCAGATGTCTGAGTTATACATACAAATCAGTTCAAAGACTGCTGCCTGAGATGATCAAGGATACTCCAGTCAGGACTTGACCATAATTTCAAATTTTCTTTGGGTTCCCATAAGATTATCAGCGCACCCAATCAGTAGGAAGTAGACTGGAAAACTATGCCTACATTCCCAAAAAATGGACTATAGATATTTGTTTAGAATATTGGTTACAAATTATTATAGATAATGATGAGGAGAAAAACTAAACAAAGGATATCAGATTCAGAGTTCTTGTTTTAAAATAAAAAGGGAGGGAAGTGCTGTGAGACAATGGTCTTTTATCCTGTCAATTTTATTATTTTTAATAAAAATACTGATTGGCCAGTAGCCAGGCAGGAAGTATAGGTGGGGTAACCAGGCAGGAAGTAGAGGCGAGACAACAAGAATTATGGGAAGAGGGAAGTTTAGTCTGCAGTCGTCACCCAGATACAGAGGAAGCCAGACACAGAGCAGCAAGACGTGACTGTCTCAACGAAAAAGGTACCAAGCCACATGGCTAACACAGATAAGAGTTGGTAAGAAGCATGAGCTAATATGCCAATCAGTTTATAATTAATGTAGACCTCTGTGTGTTTTTTTTGGGACTGAACAACTGAAGGAGCAGGTGGGGCAGAAACCTCAGTCAACACTTGGCTTCAGAATGGAAGTCAAGAAATGGGTTGCACTGGGGTAGAGGTTGTGCTTTTGTTTCTACAGGAAATGAAATGCTATGGATTCCTTCAAAATAAATGGAGATCAGATTTGATCAGGGGAGACCTGAGGATCTTGGGTATAGACCGAAAGGGAAAAGTCATGAAAGACTACAGGACAGGTGACATATATGCTGATTCCTCAACATGGGAACAGCACTGAGACTGGATAAGACATGAAAAATCTTGTTGGCTGAATAGTCCTCATGATTTATTACATGCCATCCTTTCATATGGCATGGATAGAAACTTATATTACAGTTTGGCTATGCAATCCAAATGGACTTATCAAGTTGACAGATGCCTTTTGCCTACTCAGATATAGAACAGAAAAAACATCTTTAGCTGAATTGTGTACACCACATATTCCATACTTGTGTTAATACAGATATATTAACATATATACTTTTAAAAGTTAACATGTTTTCAGAAAAAAAGGACCAGACACCAATAAATACAAGTAACCCAGGCGATCCGGCCTCTCAGAATGTTTCTATTGCATACAAAACAACTTTAAAGCTCCAAGCTGAGATGGCCCAGCCTCACACTACTCCAGACAGGACTTCAGATAAGTCCTGCACTTTCCTATCACACAGAGACCGGACAACAAATAATACAGTTAGCTCTCCCAGGACTTGACCATTATCTCAATTTTCTCAGGATACCCTAAAGATGCCATTGTCTCCAGATACTTCCCAGCAGGAAGTATTTTAAGAACACAAGGCCAACATTCTCAAGAGGTGGGGTGTGATGTAGGAGAATCTTCTATCTATCTGTTGCTTTCATTGGTTAACTAATAAAGAAAACTGCCTGACTTGATAGGTCAGAACATACGTAGGTGGGAAAGACAGAATAGAACTCTGGGAGGAAGAAGGCAGTGAGTCAGTCACCATGATTCTCCAACCTGAGAAGGATGCAGGTTAGGATCTTTACCGGTAAGCCCCGACGTCATGGTGGCATACAGATTATTAGATATGGGTTAATTAATATGTAAGAGTTAGCCAATAAGAGGCTGGAGGTAATGGACCAGGCAGTGTTTAAAAGAATACAGTTTCCATGTAATTATTTCGGGGATAAGCTAGCCAGGATCCAGGCGGGAACGTAGCCCGCTGCTCCTTTCCCAACAGGGGTGGGCGGTTCTTCATCATTTGATGGATGTCAGCATTTAGGAGAGTTGGTTACAAGTTGTTATTGGTCAAGCAAGGGAAGTTAGATTCAAGGATCTCTTTCTGAAAAGAAAAGGGGGGGAGGAATAGGAATGATAGAAGAAAAGGGTAGATTCTTGAATCTACTTTAAAGTAAAAAGCAACTATTAGTCTCAAATATTTTACATTGGTTTGGATTTTTGTATATTGATAACATTTAAGGTTATTTTTGTTAGAAAATAATCTATGTTTCTACTCTTGTTTAAAATATTTTGTATACTGATACAAATTTAAGGGTATTTAGTTATCTTGTATATATGTTTCTATTCTTCTTTTGGTATTGTATCTATGTAGCTCATTTAAAAACATAATGTATAATTGACAAAAAATTAGTAGTTAGTTATCAACAATAATCAAACTTGTAGTCATATTATGCTTTCAAGGTTAAACAGAGATATATTTTAGATAGACAGGTGATCTTTAAACACTACAGAGACCTATAGAATAAGGCATTTAAGATATTTTAATAACCTAAGATTTTCATCTAAGCTATAGGCCAAACTTTCATAATTAATAAGAAGTCTCCATGTCATTATTTGGGAGTTGGCTGGT